GCTAAAAACAACATACGGATGAGGATCGACGTTGGTCCATATGCGGTAAATATTATTTCTTTTATTATTTTTTTGAAATTTTAACTTTATATATACTAAATTTTATAATTAATATTTGGAGTTTTTTTGGCTTCCATATTGTGACGAAGAGATCTACCGGTTATTTCCACCAGGATTTTTTGATGGCTCTGATTTATGGTGTGCCGTGACTCCATTATTACATTTTTTCGATTGTTGAGATGCACGCTGTTGATAGTGTTGTGACAGCTTGTGTCTCATCAACCGATTCCTACGCAAATATGGGACATGGACGCACTCCGTAGAATTGATATGCATGGGAAACATACCAAAAATTGGTCGAGGAAGCACGTTGTCTACATTGAGCAATGGAATCAATGTCACCTAACGATCCCCGCATTACGATATTACACCGATCGACCTAGATTTCAAAAATTCTCCCTATCTCCGAAATTACGGAACAAATGGGAAACCATATCCGATGGCACCAGAAGAAAGGGGAGAATTGGAATAACTGAAGGCCAGATTTGCCAAGTCGAAGAAATCATCGTCATCTTCTTCTTCAACATCTACATCTAAAGATTATTATATGCATCTCATGTTAGTTTCAATTTTTATAATGCATTTCATACTTCAACCGAGACTCAGTCGACTTAGGTTGGATTTTCATGGGATGCAATGAAACACTCTCAAGGATATTCGACAAAACATGCGAGTGAGGGTGAATGAATCATATCATATATAGTCAATAATGTAGCCAAGTCAATTTAGTAACGACAATGATGGTGTCAAATATCATAAGCCCATCACCGTATTTCAAAGGTGGATCTCAGAGTGTGTTAACTACGTCTCTTTTTGAATAACCAAACCAAAATGAAGATGAAGACGATGATGATGACGACTACGATCAAGACTGAAGACCCCGACACACTCGACGAGACTAGTGCCATTATCATTCAACCACTCCTCGACATCATCAAGAACTTCAGAAATATAAATAAATTGTATTATGTTCATATTAGTTTGTAAAAGTAATTTTTTTGAATAAAATTATTACTTTACTTTTTAATTATTTTTTTTTTCAATTTAATCCAGAGTTCCATGTAACTGTTGTTGTTACCCATTGACAAACAGTTACCTTTTTTGAATTCAAGGAACTTGTCACCTCAAGGTGACGATTTATTTTTTTATTTTTTTTCATTTGTAATATTAAAATTATTTTTACAATTTTATTAAATTTTTATAAACGGAGTCATCTCGTTGAGGTGACAAGTCACTTTAATTTCAATAAATAAATGACTCATATGGGCTCCACTCATCTAAGTCCATTAAAATAATATATTTCATCAAACTCGTCACCTTGAGATGAATCACTGTAGCTTTTGCCGTATTATCCAAAATAAAATAAAAAAATGTGTGCCCTATTGGGCTATATAAAAAACCCGAGTGACTTTTCCCCAATCCAAAACAAAATGGGCTTTAACGTTTGAAGGGGAGGTCTATGTTCAAAATGCTTTTAGTAATGAGTCCTTTCAGGGTTAATGAAATATAATAATCTTATTGAATTTATTAATGACATGTTTTAATAGGCTTAATTGAAAAATAAATTTCTAAACATGTATTTTTTTTAAACAAAATAGAGCCTAATATTTATTCTGTTATCATTTTACGTGCTTAATATTTTATTCTATTATCATGTTAAGATCATCCCGTCAATGACCGGTAAAAAAATTGTCAACCAATATTTTCTTTACACTTGAAATTTATTAATATTTAAAAAAAAACACACTAAATTTCTAAAAAAATCGTCAATCGATGGTTGCATGGATCAAACATTCATTCATCGTTATTGATTCAGACCATGGGCCTCTTGGGTCAAACCTGACCCGTTGACTCAAAATATGGGCGTTACCCTGAAGCAAAAAAGTCGTCCCAGATCGAATCGCACTTGTTGCCATCCAAGAGGCCCACATTCAAGAGACCCAAATCATCAAGATCGGATTAGGATTCAAGAATCCAACGCAAAATTTGAGTTGTATCATGACTTCTCCTTGTGGATAAGACTTATTCTGAGTTGCATTAGGATTTTCCCTTGTGGATAGATATTTTAATCTTAGTTGTAGTAAGTGGACTGCAAGTCTAATCAAGACACCATCAGTTGTAAGAGAAATTTAGTATAAATGTAGGTCATCTCCACCTCAATAGTGATCAGAAATGTCATAAGCTAATAATAACAAGAGCATTCAGACTCAGCTATCTCTTTGGACGTTTTTACCAAGAGTTCTGTTATTTTATTTCCACCAATTCAACCTGTCATATTCTTCTAAGTCAATTTATTTTTTAAGGTCTTAATCATCCAAGGTGGAAGGCTGTCTTAGGCAGGCGCATGACCCATGTCTCCTCATACCACTCCACAGGCTAGCCTCCTCAGGCTCTTGCACACCCTAATAGTGCACCCGAGCATTTCTACGCATCTTGCTGCCGCATGCTCTATGTGTGCTGTTTCCCTTCCATCGCTACCTTACGCCATCGATCGCTACTCTGCCTTCAGAGTGGTGACACGGAGGCTTTCGTGCCTATCCGACGACCGTCGCTACCTACCAAACTGTAAAACCCCCTTTTGCTCCATTAAATCACTCCTTGGCCTTGCCCCAATTAGGTAGATCGAGTATCGGTCTTAATGCCAAATTTGAAATGGTTGTATTTGAGGATTTCGGTATTGATTAGAGATTGTATTATGGATTGTAGGATTTGATCGTGCAGAATCTAGTTATACAATATTAGAAGAAAGATCTTTGTACTCTAATCGACTAGTTTTGCATAGATGCACGTCTTTCTTCGTTTTGAGCCTAATTTTTGTGTGTTTTACTAAAATTACTAAAATCTTTTCTTGATTCTAATGATTAGGGATGAACATAATTTAACTCGAATCAAAAAAATAAATTATTTTATTTGACTATATTTTAAACAATTCGACTCAACTAAAAAAAATAAAATTCGATTAGAGTAATAAAATAAGATTTGTACAACTCAAATTTTATAGATTATTAGTGTATTGATTTTCAAATTTAGGTCAATTCTCTAACTCCACATCATATATGTATATCTGATATTTAAAAATATATATATATATATATATATATATATATATATATATATATATATGATTATAGAAAAATTTAAAATTATAACCAATTAGTACCGTAACATTATAAATATTTATAATTAAATTTACCAAAAATTCAAACAACTTAACTCAATTTCACTCGAATAGAAAAAAATTCAAATAAAGTCTAAATTATAAAATAAAACTTATCAACTCAAATAACTCGAAATTTTTTTATCCATTTCAATTTTACTCCATCACATACTCACCTCGACTAATGACCAAAACATAATGATTGCTTATAATAAACCAATTAAGTATTGGAAGTAACATATCTTTAAAAATTCTATTAAGTTTTGTGCGACTTATATTCTGTCTTTCAGATTATTATTATATGTTTTGATTGATGATGTCTGATTTTTATTATAAAAATTTATTTTTTCCCGGATATGATTCTATTAAAAAGTATAATTCCATTATGTTTACAAATCGGATTAACCTGTAAACTTCTCTATGTAAATTACTAGATGTAGGAAGGAAACTTCTAGCAAGCCTCCAACTTGTAATTTTGATCTTAGGCAGTTAGGCGACCATAGGGTTCCAAATACAGTCTTCATGATAATATAATTTTGTCTGGTGATGGATTCAGAGAACATCATTCTTTTTAACAATTTCAAAATTTTATATTAATAATTTATTTTCATTCTAAAATATTATAAGTCAATATCTTTCTCACATAAAATTTTACGTTCTACCAATTTTTATTATACTGATGTAGTAAATAAAAGAAATTCAAAAAGCGTTGCTGTAATCCGTGACAGATCCACAATTATTTTTTACGGTGGACACATATATATCAATAACATAAACATTTTTATGATAAAGGTACAAATAAAATGTTAAAATGAACACAATCAATAAAATAAATAGTTAATTAAAAGAATTTAAATTTAAAATAAACACATATTTACATGTACAACATGTACGTCCGGCCCGCACTGGCTTCAGCTTTGTAAGAAGTAGGGTTGCATTTTGCAGGCCCGAAAGAGTTCATCAGAAACGACATTAGCCTACACTATTACTGTTTTGTTATGCACCCATCAATAGATAAAATTTAGCACTGGAAACAAAAACAAATGCTGGAAGAAAGCTGATTTATGATGGGGTAATTAATTCACTGTTGCAGATTACATAAGGTGAGTGTTTTTGGTTGTCGATTTTAAGGAAATTTTATGCTTTTTTTTCACAGGAAATTTCATTGAGAAATATTCTTTAATTATGATGGTGGAGTGATATTATGGAAAATTAAACTCTCAATCGAAAGCATTAAATGGTTCCCACTACTATTAGTTAGAACAAAATTAATACTTATGCATCACTACAAAGGGTAGCTTATTTGTACCCCCCAAAACCAGGAAAGTTTGTTGAGGCTTTATGTATATATCTCCATAGATTTATTTCATTACCATGTGACAATAATATGAAGTTAATGAGATGCAGGTGGATTTTTTTTAGAAGACAGTAATTTTATTAATCAAAATAATTAGATAATGTAATTTCCTGTGAAATTTACGTATGAGAAATGATTATATATGAATGATGTTTATTTCTGGAAAAACATTTATTTAGCCGTCAGACCTCATTTGGATCGAGAACTATACACAGACTGTTTTCCTCAGGACTGCCAAAACCCTATTTTTCCTTTCATTGATTCTTATTAATAAATTCAAATTTACATGAGTACATTTCTGTTCACGATCTCATTGAAAAAACAAAAAAATCTCACACTAATCAACAGTAACTGCACGATCTTATACATATCCATTCGAACTGCAGGTAAATTTATCACACTCACCGTCTTTGTTTTTTTTATCCGTCAAGATGGTGTTGGTCTATGCCCTAGTCGGAGCTCTAGATCGAGCTCTTCAGTCGCTGCTTGCTTGCTGATATTGTTGTTGCCATCGTTGATATTATTATCGGCTGGCTCAGCTCCTGTGAACGAGTAATGGAGAGAAGAGGGAGAATTGTTCAACTCCTGTGGTACCATCAAGCTATTAAAATGATACGGTAAAATAGGGGCGAATTCTCGAGTACAAGGCGATGAGGTTTGATTGATTAATGGAACACTAGTGGTAGCAGGGTGTGATTGGTGAAGCCGAGCCCTGTCGCGGCGGTGCACGTTCATGTGACCGCCGAGGGCTTGAGCCGACTGGAACTCCCTTGTGCAGAAAGTGCAAGTATAAGACCTAGGGGGCCAAGTAACATGACCTGTGTCCTCGGCAAAGGCCTTAACCTCCCATGAATCATCGTCAGGTTGGGGCTTAGGGTTCCACACCCAGGAGGCAGCCATTAGGTTTTGTTGGTTGTGATTTTGAGCTGAGTTTTGAAGTTGGGTGAGTGAGAGAAGGCTAAGGTCAAGGACCATGGTGGTAATGGAACATTTAAGTCAGGACATAGAGTGGTTGATAAGATTGAAATGGGTTAAATATAGGAAAGGTAGAGACAAAATAAAACCCTAACACAGGACATATCACCCAAATTTTGTAGCGAAGCATTTGGATGTTTGCAGCATTGGCATTATAATAATCAGAGTTTGCCCACTCAACTCAACTGCCATCCCTACTTTGTGGGCAAAGACGGACACAATATTTAATGTTAAGAAGAAACTTATAAATTTTTTAAAGACGAAAATAGATGATTAATAGAAAATATAAAAAATACTTAAATTATAATATGAGAATTTAAAATTTTCAAAAAATATGATTATCATCGATTGCTTCCCTCGATCAGGTGATGACTACCATCCCTGTCTATATGGCCATGTACTTTGTGAGGAAAGGTGACACCTTCTGGCATAGCTGTTCTCGCCCTCCACTTAACCTTGTTTTTTTGATGCATGGTGGACAAATATAAGTAGCCACTCAGAAAATGTTAAAAAAGAAGTAAAGGGTGTAGCTGTACGATATCCCTACTATATTGCACATAAACCCTTATTTTAACAAAATATTGCACATCAAAGAATTTGATCCAACAATATCATGCTTTTATAATATCCAATCTCTAACAGTGTCCTCTTTAATTTGCATAAACAAAGCGTATGTCACTTTCGAATATTTAAATTTTGAATATAATATACAAATAAGTACACTTTATGAAATAAATATTGATTGATTAGGATTTTTAGTTCAGGTGATATGTTTTTGCAAACAAAAAACAATTATAATTAATGAAAATAGGTTGTCATAAGACAATGAACACAGATAAGGAGTTAAAATACAAGAGATTTGTACTCTTAAGACCGCAATATAAAATGGGCAGGCCACAAATAGACAAGGTCACAAAAATCACCACGCTAACTGGTAGACACATTGGGGCAGATCCGAAACAATGGCAGCAGCAAAGAGTCACCAGAATGCTTTGAACAATTCCGACCTTTCAGAACCGAAGATGGCCAAATGTGCTGCTAGACGACTGCAGCCGCAAGGGACTAAGTTGAATTAAACTGAATTGATACTAGTGACCATCCGATTAATATCCAAGAACAAAGGTCTGGTATCATAGTTAAGAATCCAGTTCAACGCTATTTGAGAACCGCATCCCACCAATAAACCATTTATCCTGTCATGTTAGATTCGATGAAGATTTCCGAAGGCCACCACTCTTGCGGTAATAGAGTCCACCGAAAAATAATGACATGATTATACCCGAGTCGGATTTAAGGAATCCTCCACCGCCTGCTACGTTCTCCTTTGCAACACCGGATACAATAAATTTAATTTAATTATACAAGACGAAGTCGAGCTTTGTATCACGCTATTCCTGAGATGATCCCATCATCTATCCCATCACGCCGTAACGTCTGTATCACCCGTAACTACAATCGTAATTAAGACTGTAATTTAGTAATTGTCTTTTTTTTCCTCACCAGGAAATATTTAGTATTGATTAATCTACAATATGTGCCTTGTTAAAAACCTTTCTAAACCTAAATGTATGAAAAAAATACACATAGTTAGGAGAACGAAAATGAAATACAAGCCAATAGAGACGCATCGAAAACGCACTGCAAACCAAGAAAGTCCCGAATTCTAATATACAGACAACAGACTCCTACAGAGACACCCGAACCTACACGTACTCTATTTTAACAACAAACTAACTGCCTGATCCCAATCAGAAGCCCCTTGGATGATATCGAGCTACAACATAAGAAAACAATGCAAGACCGCTAGACAAAGTAACTAGCGATGAAACTGCAGCAAATCTATTTCACCAGCAGCAAAACTCTGCCCGAAACAACTCAGAAACAACGCCTGATACGAACAGACTTCAGCCCAGTTAAAACACTGCATAATCGTTACCCAGAAACACAAGCAGAGGAACAACCTCCGGCAAAAATCGATGAGCCTCTAGCAACTCAACATCTCCCTACTCCAAAAAGAACCAAACTAATGAAACAGCATGGATCTTCCCAAGCAACAACTGACCCCTTAAACTCTTCAACACCCCCATTAATATTACTACAACACAAAACTAATCTTCCGGGCCCATACAAAAACACATGATTTGCCACATCACTTTACAACCAAGCTTTGAATAACGCCTGCTTGCGTACACCATCCTTAACTGCCATTGATTAAGAAATTATATTTTTAAGCTTTTTTATTTTAAATAATTTTCTAAACACCCGTTTTTGTCCGATTTTCATTTATTTATTAGTTTATTATTATTGTTATTATTATTTATAATAATATTTTATTTTATTTTTACAGGTTTTAGCCCAACCTGACCCAACAAAACCCAAATTACAAGATATTATCAAACATGGTTCGGGCCCAACATCAGGACTTAAACCCAGACCCAGTTGCAACCAGCTGATCCAGCAGCCCACCAGGAAATCCAACCGACCCAAGGTTCGACCTGAAGTCCAAAGTGAAGCCTGTTTTGGAGAACCCGACCCGACTAGGGTTTCACCCTTAGCATCTGGCGCCTCTAGTCCACAACCATTGGATATGGACCCATCAAACGGTCTTGATCACCCAAGAAGCTTAAGGTTTTAACCTAATGTATCTGTCGCAACCACTGTTTGCTACTGTTGATGCCACCGACCACCTCTAACGCCACTGTTTCAACCTACAGTGACAAGGAATCAACGTCAACAGTAAAAAGGATAACAAATCAATCTAAATATATATATATAGAAAAATAAGAAGCAAATCAAAAGAATCCTGAGGCAAATCAGTGCTTAGTCACAAGCAAATATAGGGTACTCATACCATATTCTCTCTCGAAAAAAAACAAGCCATCACATGCAAATGGATTAAAAAGAGAGAGGCAATAAGGAAAAAGTGGCGGTTTTGAAATATAGAAAAAATAACGAGAGAGAAAAAAAGAGAGATCTGAACACGAAAAAAAAAGAAAGAGAAAATAGAGAAACCCCTTACCTTTGATCGGAAGAACGTCGAAAAACTCGAGGGTCGCCGGGTCTTTGGTTATTTGAAAGGTAAATCCTAAATCTAAGGCTCTAGAGGGATTTTTTAGGTTAAAAAGATTTGGGGTTCAAGTTAGGGAGGACGAAAGGGGTATTTTGGGGTCTTTTACTTCCTCCGGCCACCGTGAGCGATCATGAGCACCGTCGTTAGACACCGTGAATGTCGTCGGTGAAAGGCGGCTCCCTCTCCCTCGACGATGGGAAGTTGAGAGAGTTTTGAGAAACTCTCTCTCTTCATTCTAAACCAAAGTGGAAATGAGGGAGATGAGAGACAAAGCCTTCGGTTTGGGCTTAAATACCCAAGGCAAAACGATGTAGTTTTGCACCCCCTCACCGTGTTTTTCGATTTTTAGGGGTAAATAGCCGTTTAGGTCCATGCTTCTTGTAATCTCATGATTTGGTCATCGAATGAAAGCATGATATTCTATTTCAGGCATTTGTTTTTCAATATTTACGTTTAATTCACCAGTTCATAAGTTGTGATATATTTGTTTATTTTGGAATCTGACCCTATGTTTTTTGATTCTTTTGTTTTAGTCACTATTTAATATGAATGCATTTAGGCTTAATTATTATTGAATCTTTAATGTTTCTGGTTTAATTTATTTTGGTCCTCAAGATTATTTATGGATTATTTTCATTCCTAGTGCCTCTGTTGCTTAATATGTTCGATTGTGGTTCTGTCTTGTTCATAATTACTGCTCGGCCTCTCAAGTTTTTGTTAGTACCATTTTGGTCCCTGAAATCACCATATATGCTTATTTTTATTGTTTGTATTTTGATTTGTAATGTTCACTTGTTTTTATTTTAGTCCTTTATGTATGAATATATTTTACATATTATATATTTATATGTATTATATTAAGTAAATCTTATTAGCTTTATTTGTCGTAGATATTTTATTCTATGTTTCAAATTGCATTTATTTTCATCATATCTTTTATATGTTATTCGAATATTTTCAAGAACAACGATTTGTAGAATAGGCGTGAAAAACATTGCTTGATCGAAGTAGTGCGATCCAATACGACATTCGAACAAAATGTGAACTTGAAATAAATCAATTTTATTTTTCTAATTAATTCATTTTTATTTTAAGTCGAACAATGTAATGCATGTTTCTATAAATAGCAATTTATTTTATTTTATGCAAATTGTCGATATTCAATTTATATTTGATTTGTATTTTTCGAGGAGGGAATATCCTTTTGAGTCAAGAAATAGGAGAGATATCCTTCCCGTTGGAGGATGAGCAAATCTCAATATTTCTTTTCGAATTAAAGGATTTTCCCTAATAAATAATTCGAATCAAATTAATTTAATAAATGGATCATATTTTAACTTTATATTCGATTTATAATTTCCAGCACCATTATGACAACATGTACGCGATTAAGTACCAATTTTTGGGCGCTGTGGGGGTGCTTATCCTTCCCCACGCGTAATCGACTCCCGGACCCGTTAAATTGAATCTTTGAGAATGCAGACTAATTTTTTTTTCTTAAAAATGATTTTTCTTAAAATTGTTTTAAAAGACGTTTTTAGGTATTCGACCTACTTAACCCAAAGGTCGATGGCGACTCCGATTCAAATTAATTCAAAAATCCCAATTTTACAAATAAAGTCATAATTGTTTTTTAAATAATATTTAATTATTTAAAAAAATGGTTATGACAGGTTGGCGACTCCACTGGGGACTTTTTTTAGAGAGTGAGGTTGTAAGTCGCTTACACATTGTCGTTGTGGTGGAAATTATGGGTCCATCTAGTGAAGTTTTTAATTTCTTCATTTTTAATTGTGATACTAATATTTTAATTTTTTTTAAGTAGTGTTCAAGTTTCTATTGAGAGTTTTCTTTTTTCTTTAGAGTCAAAGGTTTGTATGTTCCTTCTCACACACAACTCGTGCATTTGCATGACATAAGCTCTAGACAC